GTTCAACTGAGTTGTACAGTTTATAGGTTACATTAAAGGTGGAAAAAGTTCTGAAATGTTTTATCTTTGTCTCGATTTTTTACATCACAGAAACCTGACATTTTAACAGGGGTGTGTAGACTTTTTATATCCACTGTACATGAATGTGAAGAGCTGAACCTTTTTTGAAAAATCACGATCACAAGTGTATTTGCACAATAAGGGGCAGCTAACACACTATTTTTATTGGTATTTTTTATTGACTATTATTGTTTTTTTATTGATTATTAATAATATCGGTACACTATTATTATTATTATTTTACAGGATTTATATAGCGCCAACAGTTTGCTCAGCTCTTTACAATATAATAGGAGAGAATACAGCAACAATACAGTTCAATACAAGAGGGTTAGGAGGGCCCTGCTCCTTGGAGCTTACAGTCTAAGAACTGCACTAACACTGATTATTTTTTTTAGCAATCTACATATTTTTATAGGGATACTTTTTTTGGTTAATATACCCTTTGAGTAGGAAGAGCAGGTGCTTAGTTAATTTTATTAAATAAAATGGCATTTATTATTCTTTCTTTTACCATTGAAGCTGACAAGCATTGCACCTGTAATCAGTGGATCACCAGTGCAATGTCAGGCTCCTTCAGACTCTTCTGACAGCTCTCTGCCGTAACCTCCATATGGACAGACAGTTACTCAGTTGTAGAAAGTGTCCGTGAACTAGCAGGGTGGTGATGTGTACAGAACTCCCCTAGGTTGCCATATTGCATTGACAGGATTGCATTACAGAAAATGACAGCACTGTTGATTGAAAAGAAATGTTTTAATTACGTTCAATTATTATATGACTTTTGTTGCAATTATATATGCGATATTATTTATTTTCTATATTTGTTTCCTACATACTCTTTAAGCCCCTGGTGCCCAACTGGCGCTCCAAGGGCCACATGTGGCCCTTTGGCATTTTTTATGCTGCCCCTGGAACCCCTGCAGACACTAATCTGTGTTTCCCTATTGCTCTGTTAGCAATGATTTCTATCAGTCCTATGTAATAAGTCTCCAGTCTATGACTATCTCCTGAAGTGTGTTCCCAGTCTCCAATAACTCCTATAGCACGTCCAGAGTCTGTGAAAGTCTCCCGCAGCATGTCCGCAGTCTCTGACCATCTCTTGAGTCATGTCTGCAGCCTTTGACCATCTCTTGTAATATGTCTGCAGTCTCTGACCATCTCTTGAGTTATGTCTGCAGTCTCTGACCATCTCTTGTATCATGTCTTCAGACTCTGACCATCTCTTGTAATATCTCTGCAGTCCCTGACCATCTCTAGAGCCATGTCTGCAGTCTCTGACTATCTCTTGTATCATATCTGCAGCCTCTTGCCATCTCTTGTAATATGTCTGCTGTCTCTGACCATCTCATGTATCATGTCTGCAGTCTCTGACCATCTCTTGAATCATGTCTGCAGTCTCTGGCCATCTCTTGTATTCTGTCCGCAGTCTCTGACCATCTCTTGAATCATGTCTGCACTCTCTGACCATCTCTTGAATCATGTCTGCACTCTCTGACCATCTCTTGTATCATGGCCACAGTCTCTGACCATCTCTTGTATCATGTCTGCAGTTTCCGACCATTTCTTGTATCATGTCTTCAGCCTCTGACCATCTCTTCTAATATGTCTGCAGTCTCTGACCATCTCTTGAGTCATGTTTCCAGTTTCTGACCATCTATTGTATCATGTCCTCAGCCTGTGACCATCTTTTGTAATATCTCTGCAGTCCCTGACCATCTCTAGAGCCATGTCTGCAGTCTCTGACTATCTCTTGTATCATATCTGCAGCCTCTTGCCATCTCTTATAATATGTCTGCTGTCTCTGACCATCTCTTGTATCTTGTCTGCAGCCTCTGACCATCTCTTGTATCTTGTCTGCAGCCTCTGACCATCTCTTGTATCTTGTCCGCAGCCTCTGACCATCTCTTGTATCATGTCCGCAGCCTCTGACCATCTCTTGTATCAGGTCCACAGCCTCTGACCATCTCTTGTATCATGGCCACAGTCTCTGACCATCTCTTGTATCATGTCTGCTGTCTCTGACCATCTCGTGTATCATGTCTGCACTCTCTGGCCATCTCTTGAATCATGTCTGCAGCCTCTGACCATCTCTTGTATCTTGTCTGCAGCCTCTGACCATCTCTTGTATCTTGTCTGCAGCCTCTGACCATCTTTTGTATCTTGTCTGCAGCCTCTGACCATCTCTTGTATCATGTCCGCAGCCTCTGACCATCTCTTGTATCAGGTCCGCAGCCTCTGACCATCTCTTGTATCATGGCCGCAGTCTCTGACCATCTCTTGTATCATGTCTGCTGTCTCTGACCATCTCTTGAATCATGTCTGCACTCTCTGGCCATCTCTTGAATCATGTCTGCACTCTCTGGCCATCTCTTGAATCATGTCTGCAGTCTCTGACCATCTCTTGTATCATGGCCACAGTCTCTGACCATCTCTTGAATCAAGTCTGCACTCTCTGACCATCTCTTGAATCAGGTCTGCAGTCTCTGACCATCTCTTGAATCAAGTCTGCACTCTCTGACCTTCTCTTGTATCATGGCCACATTCTCTGACCATCTCTTGTATCATGGCCACATTCTCTGACCATCTCTTGTATCATGGCCACAGTCTCTGACCATCTCTCTTGTATCATGGCCACAGTCTCTGACCATCTCTTGAATCATGTCTGCAGTCTCTGACCATCTCTTGAATCATGTCTGCAGTCACTGACCATCTCTTGAATCATGTCTGCAGTCACTGACCATCTCTTGTATCATGGCTGCACTCTCTCACCCTCCCCTGTCTAATGTCTACAGTCTCTGACCATCACTAGTATCCTGTTGTGTGTCTGCTGTCTGTGACTCTGAATATTCACTGAATTTTATGTGTGGCCCTTTGGTGATTCCGGGGGGGCCCACATAGCAAGAAAGTTGACCACCACTACTTTAAGCTGACTACACATTACAACCTGAGTGTACAATCTCCTTTAGATCTTCCAACAAGTATGAGGTGCAGGAGTCGGCCAGATTGGATACATTAGGTAGGTTCTCATGTGACATCGTTTTGGTCGATTGGTTGTACAGACATTGTACGGTGAGATTGTATTGTGTATGGTGAGTCAGAGTTTCAAACACAACATGAATCCACAGTGCAGTTTGGATGTATTATGTGTGCAGTTAATACACAATAGGTTTCATATGTTGGATCATTGTCTGATAATAATAAGCACTATGTGTTTGTTTTGAAGTGCAATCCTCCCACTTGCAAAGCATGACACCATTTCTTGTTATTGGCTGCGTCGGTCGTCTTCACAATGGTTTCCACAATATCATCACATAGCAGAGGCTGTCACAGGATTTTCACAGGAAGCGCAACCTCCTCCTCATGAAATTGCAGTGCATACGTAGGAAATGTAAACAAACACACCGCGCACGCACTCTCCAGCCCCATCTGCTGGGTAAATGCGGTAATTTTCATAGATTTATGAGAAGTTAATGGACTTTGAAGAATGACTAGATAAACAAATGCTTGACTGTAGCATTAAAAAATACACATATTATATGCCTGAAAGAAAATTCACGAAAGGAGAACTTGCAGTAGATTGTAGAACATCTGATTCAGAATAAATTGTATACCGTATGCAAGGAAGTGAAGATCCTTGGCTTTTTCCAGTTTTGCAGTCAAATTTGAGAAAACCCCATTATATGTTTGTTATGTGTTTCCATTCACACAGCACACCTAAAACAGTTTTTAAAAAATATTTCTTACCTTTTAGATGTTGGTTAGGAAGGAGGTGTCATGGCTGACTGCAAGGTTTTTTGATCAATGTCAGAGTGAGCCTGTCCCAAGTCTGTCTTCATTAACATACAGTACAAAAATCCCAGCCTCTACACCTTTAACTCTGTATTAGAACAGGCATCTATTGCTCTGAGGAAGGGAGTTCGACTCCCGAAACGCGTTAGCACTTTACTCGAGGACCTATGCTGTCCACGACTGGCATCTTTGACTCCTTGTCTCTGTTTTTATGACTTTTTTAGCTTGTTAGTATGCATTTGTATTTTTATAATAAGTTTCATATTATCACGGTAATGCACGAGGAGAGTGCGCCCGTTTTTGTTCTTTTCTATTAGAACAGGCAGCATGCAAATCTAGTGACAACTGATAATCAAGATTTGCCTGCACAGTACAGACAGGGTTAAAGTGATACTAAAGGTTCAGTTTTTTTTGATTGTTTTTTTTTTTTAAATAACAAACATGTTATGCACAGAGCAGCTTTGATCCTCTTCTTCTCCTCCTCCTACTGGGTGCCCCCAGAGCAAGCCTCTTGCTCTAGGGGCACTCATGCGTGCTCACTCTTGAGCTGCCTCTGTGTGTCTGTAAAGCCAACCATAGACGGTGCGATTTTGTTTCCATAGACTGCGCGGGGGTAGCGGTCCCTGCTGGGAGAGCACACTGATTACTGCTAGCAGCTATAGCAATAATCACATGTAAGATCCAACAGGCTGGTTGATCGATCGATTAATTTGGGTATATTCAGCCTGCCCATACATGGTTCGAATCTCTGCTGAACAGGTTGAGATTTGAACTGTCTACGGCTAGCTTAACCTCCCTAGCAGTCTGATTATGTCCGTATTTCTGAGCTCAAAGCGGTACATTTTTTTGCATGGAAATATGTGATTTTTTTATTGTAGGCCTGTCATTTTTAGGAATAACTCACTGAAATCTGTCCGAACAAGAGTCTATTAAACATCCCGGGTATGATAAAATTTGAAACACGAAATCATAAATTATAATTTAATAAATAATCATAAAAAATAATAATAATAAATTAAATTCAGTAATATAATCAAACCAAAAACACTGAAATTTGAAAATATAGCGCCAAGTTCGCACATCACTGAGCAAAGTCGCAAAATCGTTTTCAGTGTCTGATGACGAATTTCCCCACGAATCATTATCACTCAATTCTGCAAGTGGTTCTGATTTACTATCGCTGTTCTCTAGCTGATCTAAAACTGCTTTTGACCTAAAGGGACGCTTTTTGGACACCATGGACATTTCTCAGTTTCCAGGCAGAAAGAACAGTAAAAATGCAGGCAGGGCACAGGACAAAGCACTCGGGACAAAATGTATGTGAAATGGTTTGATACAGGAATGTTTTACTATGTGATTTTAGTGAATGTCACTTTTTGTAATTCTCAAATTTCCTGCCGTTTCGTCCCCCATACGTCCTGACGTCGCAGGGAACGGAACCCAGATGACAGATGCCGGATCCTGCCGCAGGACATTACAGGGGACACTGCAGGAGGGACATCGCGGGAGTGCAAGACAAGGTAAGTGAAGAACAGATCCCGGGGCAGCGCCGCATGGTAAGCCCGAGTGTAGCTCGGAGTTACCGCTTGTGGTACTGAAACTTTACCCCGAGCTACACTCGGGAATACCGTCAGGGAGGTTCAGACACACAGAGCATGGTTCGGCCCAACCCCCTGTCCCCTCCTCAATGGCTGCCTGCCTGTGATTGACAGCTATGGGCAGCACAGTGGCTAAGTGGTTAGCACTTCTGCCTAGCAATGCTAGGGTTGTCGGCTCGAATCCCAACTACGGCACTACCTGCCTCGAGTTTGCATGTTTTCCCTGTGCCTGCCTGTGTGGGGGCCGCTGCACACAAAATTTTTTTCCTTTTTTTTTTTTTGCATAGAATACACGAAGGTAAAAAAACCTTGAGCCTTTAGAACCACTTTAACCCTGCACTGGCAGATCTCATTATCAGTTGTAAACCTTGCATACTGTCTCTCCTAACAGAGGGTTAAAGATCTCAAGGCTTAGATGGTGAATTGTATGTGAATGTATTATCGATCCCGTCTGTCCGTACAGAATAGCTTACAGTCCTACGTATCAACCTGCTCCATAGGAACAACTAAAAAGGTAAAAGCAATATATTTTAAAAAAAATATATATTTTTGGGTACGCTTTCTAAATACATAGGGGGGGTTTCTCAAATTTAGCTATAAATGTTGAAGTACGCTTTAAAGCATATGTAAATCCAAGACACCTTGCCTGCACTAGAGTGACAAGGATCACGCAGTGTGCTGTATTTGTGGAGGAGCAGAGTTGTCACCTGAGGACAGGAAGTGTGATAGGACTACAAAAAATGTTTTGTAGTCCACAGAGATAGCAGGAACAATGCTAACCGATAAGAGTACGGCACAGACAGAGAGCGCAGGAAGTTATCATCTCACAAGATTTCTGCCATGCTCAACAGGGTTTTTTTTTTTTCTTTATCAAACAGATATAACATCAAAACTTTCAAAATGTAACAGACCCAAAGGGAGCAAATAGATATTCATTGTTGGGGTTTACACACTCTTCCTGAATATAATTGCCTCCGACAACTGCTTTGCTATCATTGCCAGGGTGAGTTAGGTTAGGCATAGAGGATGACATTCAAAAGATTTGTCAACTATTTAATGCGATCTCATTCACACCAGGGAGGTCTATTGTGGTTTCTGTAAATGTGTTAGGCGCCTTATTTATTTTTATTAGAGGTACTTATATAGCGCTGTCAATTTACGCAGCGCTTTTACGTATATATTGTACATTCACATCAGTCCCTAACCCTCAAGGGGTGTACAATCTAAGGTCCCTAACTCACATTCATACATACACATACTAGGGACAATGTAGACAGGATCCAGTTAACCATCCAGCATGTCTTTGGAGTGTGGGAGGAAACCGGAGTACCCAGAGGAAACCCACACAAGCACAGGGAGAACAAGCAAACTGCAGGCAGGTTGTGCTGTGGTTGGGATTCAAACCAGCGACCCTACTAGTGCCAGGCGGAAGTGCTAACCATTTAGCCACTGTGCTGCCTTGCGTTACAGTGGTTATAACCCCTACATATACCCAGAGAGGAAACAAATCCTCCTACATAAGTTGTACCTGTTTATCGGCAGTCTTCTCTTCTCTATATCCCTTCACAGTCCAGAATTTATAACGCTTGTGTGAGCTTTAGAAAACAGGGCAGTTTGCTGAAATTACACACTACAGAGCTGTGAGAATTCTGAGAGCTGATTGGAGGAAATGGACACCCCCCCTTCACACTGCTCACAGGACTAAGGCTAGGTTCACACCTATGCAGGCCAATTTGTCCTTAAAAAAAACAACAATCCAATATAATCCACCTGGATGTTCAAAGTAGTTGTGATAATGTGTACAGTTTTACTAACACATGTCAAAGTTGCAAAATTGTGCTTTGGCGTTAAGATTTGTTTTACCTTTAAACCCAAAGGGGTTAAAAACCAACCACACTAGGCTTAAGAGCTCAGCCTGGTCAGTTCTCTAGCTATGCTGGGAAATCAGTGTGCTCTCCTCCAATGATCTCACCACACAGCCTCTCACAGGAAAGACCAGTGTGCTGTTGTTTCTCCACTTCAGCTTTCTAAGATCCTTATGCAGCTGCAAACAGAGGGTATAAGATCACTTATAAAAAAAAGTTAAAAAAGTTATTTATAATGTTTTTTTAAACATTTACACAATTGTTTTGTCTTTCATTTCTATTTTAAATTGAATGGGCTGTTTTACAGACTGAGAGTTTACAACTTTATTTCTTTTCAGTAATAATCCCAAAATTAAATGAATTTCAATGGCTAAAAAACAACAACAGTAAAGAAAGTGGTGTCCCCTTTATCTGGTTGGTTGGTTAGTTACCTTTAATAGGTTAGTTCCCTTGCATTGGTTGTCATTGTAGTGCTCCCATACATTAGTGGTCATTTTGGTGCTTCCTTACATTGGTCCTTACATTGGTGGTCACTGTAGTGGTCCCTTACATAGGTGGTTAGTGTGGTGATCCCTTACATTGGTTTTCTGTGTAGTGGTCCCTTACATTGGTGGTCTGTGTGGTGATCCCTTATATTGATGGTCAGTATGGTGCTTTCTTGTGTTTGTGGTTAGTGTGGTGCTCCTTTACGTTGGTGGGCAATGTGATGCTTTCTTACATTGGTGGTTAGTGTGGTTCTCCCTTACAATGGTGGTCACTGTTGTGATCCCTTAAAATGGTGGTAAGTGTGGTGATCCCTTACAATGGTGGTCATTGTGGTTCTCCCTTACAATGGTGGTCATTGTGGTTCTCCATTACAGTGGTGGTCAGTGTGGTCCTTCCTTATATTGGTAGTCACTGTAGTGCCCCCTTACATTGCGGGTCAGTGGATAAGTACTGCCTTACATCAGTAAACCGTGGAAAAGATGCCCCCACTTCCCTACATTGGTGGCCAGTGGGAAGAGGGTCTTCTTACACTGGTGGTCAGTGGAAAGAATGTCCCTAAAGCTGATTAACACATGTGCGGTGTGGATATAAGCTCAGGTTTTACAGCTAATTGATAAAGTAGCTGTTCACCAGTCCATGTCAGGTTTACATCAGGTTCAGGACAGGATTTGCTCTCAGGATTTTATCCTGTTCACACATGTACAGTTTAGAAACAGTTCCCATAGAAGTCAATAGCTTGTAATCCGGACTTGAACCGGACTGCGCTGCTCAGAAATTGTACATGACTCTTTTTCAAACCGCACTGAATCTGCACTGCCAGTGCATTGGACATATGTGAACAGGCACCCTAGGAAGCAATGTTACTTCACATGTCATGCGGATTGGATGCGGTTCAAACCACATCCAATCTGCATATATCAACTGCCACTTAGACTGGAAGTCAATAGAAAAAGTGTCCCCTTACAGACAGCTAATCATAGTTTTGTCATCTTACCATAGAGATGAGAGGAGGGTTCCACTGGTCTCAGTTATGCCAGTGCTAGAACTGTTCAGTTAGGTGGAGATCAATCTGTCACTGGTTAAGGAAGGAACCCCCCCAGATGAGAACCCCAGAGCTAAACAAACCCCTGTTTGATAAAGACAGCTATAATAATTTTATTATAGTATGTCATTGAACTTGTGTAAAATCATAGTGAATTTTCTGGGCCACCATTAAACCTCCCTGGCGGTATTCCCGAGTGTAGCTCGGGGTAAAATTTCAGTACCAAGAGCGGTAACCCCGAGCTACACTCGGGCTTACCATGTGGCGTTGCTCAGGGAGTCCCTGCAGCGCTTACCTTGTCCTTCGCTCCCGCGATGTGTCCCCTGCAGCGTCCCCGGCCATCTCCTTCGGCCGATGCCGGCATCCGGCTTCTGTGTTCCGGTCCCTGTGACGTCGGGATGTACGGGCACCGGAACCAGCGGCAAATTTGAAATTTTTAAAAAATTACATTTTTTAAAAAATGATTATTATATAATAAAACATTGCTGTTTCAATGCATTTCACATATATTTTGTCCTGTGCCCTGCCTACATTTTGACTGTTCTTTCTGCCTGGAAACTTAGAAAAGTCCATGGCGTCCAAAAAGCGTCCCTTTATGTCAAAAGCGGTTTTAGATGGGCTAGAGAACAGCGATAGTAAATTAGAACCACTTGCAGAATTGAGTGATAATGATTCGTGGGGAAATTCGTCATCAGACACTGAAAACAATTTTACGACTTTGCTCAGCGATGTGCGAATTTTCCTCTGTATTTCAAATTTCAGTGTTTTTGGTTTGATTATATTATTGAATTAAATGTATTATTATTATATTATTATTTTTTATGATTATTAATTAATTATAATTTATGATTTTGTGTTTCAAGTTTTATCATATCCGGAATGTTTAATAGACTCTTGTTCGGACAGATTTCAGTGAGTTATTCCTAAAAATTACAGCCTACAATAAAAAACTACATATTTCCATGCAAAAAAATGGTACCGCTTTCAGCACCAAAAATCAGAAATAATCATACTGCCAGGGAGGTTAAGCACCTTTTGTATTCTGCTGTACATGTTACGATAATGACTAGACTCCAGGCAGCATTGAGTTATTAGTATTTCCCCCCCCCAGATCTACCCTCAATCCCTCCGACACTAATAAAGCATAACTGCTTTGTCACTCAGAGAATCTGCTGTCATTTTTTTTTTTGTTAAATCTGGAAATCTGAGTTTTTATGAAGTCTGGAAATCTCAGGAACAGTGACAAAATTGAGCACATCCTGTCTAGTAAGTTTTCTTTTTGATAGGAAAGCTTGTCATTTCAAAATTCAAAAATTCAAAATGTAGCTTTTTAAGATGCTTTCTTTTATCTTGCACTTCCTGACATGACTGTACCTAGGTACTTGCAGCCTCATAGTTGTTTATCTGCAGTGGGAGACCACAGGCACTGCAGCCTCTGACTACTAGTTTCATATACTGTAATTTGGTGATATGATACTCTGTTGCTCAACTGTTCTTCTCGCTGGAGAGG